GGGCCTGTAAAAGGAAAGAACGACCCTCCTAAGGTACAGAAAAGAAAGGGCCAGAGAGGTCTTTCCCCAGAAAGATGGAGTGGTCATCAGTGGGTATGTGCAGAAAGGTCAGGGGTCAAGGGCACATCCACAAGCCCCTCCGATGTGCAACTGCACAATCACCATAGTGCCCCTGGAATTGGGCAGCCTGGGGTCCCTGCTGATTGCCACCCCCAGGGCCCATGGGAGACCTCTGGGGACCTTAACGGAGGCAGCTTTTGCCGAGGGGGGGGGGGATGATTAAGGAGAGGAAGGAGAGAGGCAGCAAAGTCTAGGCCCTTTAAATTAAATTTTAGTCTTCAAGGAAAGAGCAGTGCTGGCATATGAATATTCTGAGGGAACGGAGCCTGAGTAATGGAGTGATTAAGGATGGAGACAATTAGTGAAATGAGTTCCCACGGGGGTTGGGTTCAAGTGTGGTGATGGATAGATTAGTTTGGGGCAATAATGTGTATTTGACTGAATGGGCAAAATTTAATTATTTACCTTTTAGAGGGTAACTTGATCTCCATGTTCTTTTGGGAGCTTTTATCTGACCTATGTACCAACTACAGCTCTAATTAGCACCATTTTTATCCTGTCTCATGGCTGGGATCCTGTCTTCTTATTTTTTGTGTTTCTCAGCACCTAGCAACAGGCAGTAAGCTCTTTGGGTGCTGAATCAATATTATCTGCCTTGGAATGAAAAATCTGAAGTCAACATTCACACTTTTTGACCAGAAAGAATCTGTGACGATTCTCCGGAATTATGATGCAGGAGAGAACTGGGGTATTAAGTCATGGTGGCAGGGGTTTGCATGGGTGGGTAGGTGGAGAAAAAGTAAAGAAGTCGGCTCTCCTCGTCCTTATAAGCTCTGTGCCATTTATGCATGTTCACATTCATCATCTCATGTGAACTTCACCTTCCCCCACAAGCAACAGAGCATCACCCTACATCACAGAGGAGGGAACAGAAACTGGAGAAGCAAGTGCCTTTCTGACATAGAGCACAAGTAGCAGGAGCTGGATTCAACCTCAGTCCATCCAGGATCACAGTCCTTCTTCCCAGGACCAGGTTGAGCTGAGAGGAAGAAGAAGAGGGGTCTGTGAGGTCCAAGTGGAGACGCTCCGCAGGCACGTGCGGAAGGTTGGAGGTACGGTCCGACTGGAAACAGGATATTAAAGCATCGTATCAAACTGCGGTGATAACATCTGCAGCGCTAGCACTAGGGCAGGTAGCACTCTTGTCTAAGAAACCTCCCCCCCACATGAATGATATTTACATTGAAGCCCTCTGTATTTTTTTTTTAATGTTTTTCTTTAACCCATCTGAAACGGATTTCCGTGTGTGGTGTGACACAGAGATCTAATTTGATCTTTTTCCAAATGGATAACCAGTTGGCTAAGCACCATTTATTGTCCCAACAGTATCTTTTCTCCCAGTTCCCTACGTCTACACTCTGTTCAGGTCTGTTGAGCTGTTTGTCTACTTCTGGGCCAATACCAGATTTTAATGAGCAAAAGCTTTATCTTACTACCCAGTAAGTTGAGCACCCCTCCCTTCCTTGCCCTTTATTCTTTTTTAAAATTATCTTGGTCGTATTGCACATTTACTTTTTCATATACACTTTCGAATCAGCTTGTCAAAGTTCCATGAGAAAAATCCTGTGGGAATTTTGTGTGGGATTTCATTGAAGGGAGAAATAACATCTTTAGGATATCAGTTCTTCCCATCCGTGAACATGGTATCTGTCTCCATTTAATCAAAGTCTTATTTGTTTGGTTTGATTTTTAATGTCTTTTAATAAAGGTTGGTTGCTTTTGTCATAAAGGTTTTTCACATTTCTTATTAGGTTTATTCCTGAGTACCTTATCAGTGTTGCTCCTTTTGTGAGTGTAAAAGGTTTTGCTTTTTGCTTTCCAAATTTTAATCAATTTGCTAATCACGATGCTTCATTCGCAGACACACACTCGGAGTAAATGTGCTTTGTCCCTGGGCACACAAATGAGAGCACAGCACACATATAAAGTAGAACTAATTGGCTGGAAATGAATTAGAATTTTTGAATTAGAATTTAATTATATAAGTAATACATGAATACATTTTGCTGTTCATCCAAAATGTTTTCCGATGCCCATTGAAACACATCTTCTGTTCTCTTTTCGTGTGTTTGCACAGACGTGATGTGTACAAGCTGGAGGTGTTGCTCTCAGCTTAGTGCGCACTGTGGGACTCCTGGTGTAGCCGACGTGCTCTGCCGCAGTGTTCCTTGCAGCTGGCGACTGGCGGCCTTAGGATTACACCATGTTTGATTTTCTTGTTTCCTATTGATTGACTATTAAAATGTTTCCAGTGTCGTTCCATTAAGACAAACCTGTAAGAGCATCTTATAATTGTTCATTTTGCACATGTACAAGTATTTCTCTGGGATAGATACTTAGAAATGGAACTGATGGGTCATAAGGTATTCATATCTTAAATTCTAATAGAAATTTCTGAAGTGTTCTCCAAATTGCCTTCTAATGTAATCTCCTGCTAGCAGCGTGTGTGTGTCCATTTCCCCAGACCACGTCCAAGTTTTCCATTTTTAACCAGTCTGATGAGTGAGAAATAGTATCTTGCTTTAGTTGGCATTTTTCTGAATTACCTGCAAGACTGAAGTCTTCATGTGTTTACTGTCCATTTTCATTTCCTCCTCTGGATTGCTTGTGCATATCCTTTGCCTGTTTCTTTTTTTTTTTAAGGTTTTTTTTGTCTTTTTGCTATTGATTTTTAAGAGTTTTTTATTTGAATATTAATACTTTGTCATGTATATTGCAGATGTTTTCTACATTGTGATTTGTGTCATTTAATTGTGTAGTATCTTTTTGTCTTAGAGAAATTTTAACTTTGATACGATCAAATTTGTCAATCTTACTTTTAGGCCATTTTTACAGTCTTATTTAAGAAAGTATTCCCTGTATCAAGGTCATAAGTATTTACTGTATTTCCTTCTCTAAAATTTATAGTTTCTGTATACATACATATTTAAGCCTTTATACTATATACAAAAAATAAATTCCATATGTACAAATCTTAGGATCTAACTTTAATTCCTCCCCATTCCCCCCAAATGGATAGGTAATTGTCCCAACACCATTTATGGAATAATATATCATTTCTCCGCTGATTTAGAACTGCCTCCTCTGCCTGACACTGAATTCCAATGCGGGTCTGTGTCAGAGCTCTTTCTGGTCCACTGATCTATTTGTCTACTCCTGAGCTTGCTAATATGCTTTGCTAACTGGCAGGACAAATCCCACCCTCTCTGTTGTTTTTGTAAAATTGCCTTGATCATCCTTGCATACTTGTCCCACCACATGAATTTTAAAATAGCCTGTCGAGTCTCAGGAAAAATTCTGCTGGGATTTTAATTGGGATCACATTGAGTTTTAGGTAAGTTTGAAGAAAATTGGCACCTTTATCATATTTGAGTCTTCTGCCAGTGCTCGTTGCTATTATCTCTCAGTTCCGGTCACTCTCATGTCTTTCAGGGAAGTTTTATGGTTTTCTCTAAAGTCTTGCATATTTCTTGATAAATTTATTCCTAGGTTTATTACAGGTTTTGTTGTCAACTGTGAATAGGGTCTCCTCTCCCTTTATTTGTTTGGCCCTTGTTTTTCCATATTTCATTTCAACCTGTTTACCGATCAGTGGGCTTGACTTGCAGACACACACGCAAAGTGAACATTCTTCCTCCGGGGGCACAAATATGCAAGCACCACCAAACACAGAGAGCCGGCGTAATTGGCTGGAAACAAATTAGAGTATTTTCAGATTATACTTTAATTAACGAAGTAAAGCATGAATACATTTTCCTTTTGAAAGTCGGACAATATGAATGTAACTAAAGTTTCCTTTGGCCACCCTCTGAAATCCTAGTTTCCCTCCCTCACCCGCAGTTTTATGTGTCTCCTTCCATAGAAATGTAAGTATCAATGGAGGTATTTTGAATGAATCATCCCACTCTGTAGAGATTTTACTGTAAGCTGTGTTTTTTCACTCCATCTTATATTTCTAAGATATATTGATACAAATAGCTCTTGCCAGTTCCTTTTAGTAGCTGTGTTATATTCATTCCCATGAATGTGCTACATTTTTCCTTCCTAAGATCCATGGACATTTAGTTGCATCCTTTTCTTTCCTCCATCATAAGCAGCGCCACAGAAAATAGCCTTACACGTGCCTCTTCTGTAATGTTTCTCTAGGATGGTGATTGAGAAGTGGAATTTGTGTTCTCAGGGTTTCCACATTTTTAGTTTTAGATGTTACCAAAGTGTCCTCCATAATTTCTGTACCATTTAAACTTCTAGCCAGAGGATATGGGAGGACTCCTCACACCATAAGTGATTGTTTTAAATGTTTGCCAATTTGCTGGGTGAAAAATTGAATAATTTTTTAAAGTTTATACATACCTGTTTGCTAGTGAGATTTTCATATGTGTTTTAGGCATTTGTATTTTCTCTTTTCTGAATGATCTGTTTATTTTTGCTCATTTAAAAAATTAGGTTGTTTGTCTTTATCTTATTGATTTTTGAGTTTCCTAGTGTAATCTGGATATTAATCTTTTGTGTGTGTGTGTGTGTGTGTGTGTGTGTGTGTGTGTGTGTGTATGTATATATATATATGGCACATGTTTTCTTCCAGCTTGTCTGTTGCCTTCAAATTTTGTAGGGGCTTTTGTTAGACAGAAGTTATCAATTTTGACATAATCAAATTTCCATCTTTTCCTTTATTCCTTGTATTTATATATCATGTTTAGGCCTTTCTTACTCCTAAGGTTTAAGTATACTCTGTATTCCTTTCTAGTAATTTTGTTTTTATTTGGGTCTTTTTTTTTGTCGGGGGGTATGCGGGCCCCTCACTGTTGTGGCCTCTCCCGTTGCGGAGCACAGGCTCCGGACACGCAGGCTCAGCGGCCATGGCTCACGGGCCCAGGCGCTCCGTGGCATGTGGGATCTTCCTGGGCCGGGGCATGAACCCGTGTCCCCTGCATCGGCAGGTGGACTCTCAACCACTGCGCCACCAGGGAAGCCCTATTTGGGTCTTTAATGCAGCTGGAGTGTATGTTTATGATTGAAATGAGATATGATCTAATCTTTCTGCAAACATACAGCTGATTATTGCAACATGACGGACTGTCTAGTTCCTTCTCTCTCCACTGATCTGAAGTGAAACTCCCTCATATACTGAATTGCCATGTCTAGGTAGGTCTGAGGCGCTGGTTCTTTTTCACCAGTCTATATATTTCTGTCTGCATCAGACTGTTTTATCCACTCTAGCTTGAGACCACCTTTTGATATCTGTTAAGTAAAATGTTCCATTTCATTGTGCTTCCTGTTCAATTAACTCCGCTAACTATTACTGCACGTTAACTCCTCCACATGAATTTTAAAACCTGCTTGTCAGGTTCTGTGAATTTAAAGATTAATTTGGGGAAAATCAACATCAGTACAATCCTGAGTCTTTCAGTCCATGAACACAGTATAGCCCTGCACTCATTCTGATCATCTAAAGGGCAGCCTTTAGTCCTATTTTATGGTTTTCTCCATAACGAACCTACCAATTTCCCGATGGGTTTATTCCTGTAGTTTTTATTGTTGTTGTGAATGAGTTCTCTCTGCACCCCCTGTTTTGTTTTTCTTTTGCTTGCTACATTTTTTTTTTAATCCACTAATCACTGTACTTCATTCATAGACACACACAAAGTAAACGTTCTTCCTTCCTGGACACAGACGTGCAAGCACTGCCAAACACAGAGCTGCCATAATTGGCTGAAAATGAAAGGGAACTTTTCAAATGAAAGTTCAATGACATAAGCGCAACATGAATATATTCTCCTTTTTGAGAAATAGAACATTGCAGATGAACCTAAAGTCCCTTTTGGGCACCACTGCCATCCCATTTCCTTCTTACCCAGAGGTTGCTACTGTAATGGGCCCAATGTACACTTTTCTAGACTTTCTAAAAATTTGTAAATACGTAGGTAGGTACCCACAGGAAGTTACATGGTATAGTTGTCTCAAGTAATGAGAATTTTATCTTTTCCTTTTCACTTTTCATTGATACTCAATTTTTGTATTGACCTGGATTTTATTATGGTTACAGAACAGAATGTCAGTATTATCACCCATCACGATGTGATGACCAGTGACCTTCTGTAGCCAAACCATAGGCAGATGTGAAAGTACAGATGTAGAAGCTGGGAGATAGCAGTGGAGGGAAGGGGTCAGAGGACTGACAGGGACGGTAACGGGAGGCACAGGAGCGTCTGTGGACACACAGTGGAGTCAGGAGTGAAGGGGCAAGTAGGTTTCTTAAAAACCAACAGAGGTACTTGACAACTGTGGTGGGAGAAGCAGGGATGGTGGGGAGTAGTTTCCAAGTGACCCAAAGCCTAATCTGCCACATGGGACATCAGTGGGTCTTATGAACTATTTAGAAATAGGGTATCATAGATGCTGGTCAGAAAACTCTCATGACCCGATTTTGACTAGGATCTTGTGAATATTGTCAGGCAGCTTCAAGGAAGCACTTTCCTCCCTGGTTAAAGGGATGCATCTGGAGAGCTTTATTGGTCCTGCCCCTTCCTTTCTGCCTAGGTGCTGTTGGGTAAAAACGTGATACTTGGAGCTCTGACAGCCATCTTGTGACCACGAGGGGAAGGCCAGGAGATGCAACTCTGTGCTGACTCAATTCGGACACCTGGCACCACTGACTTCTGGACTTTCTTTGAAATAAATAAAATGGTCTTACTGTTTAAGCCACGCTCGGGTGTTTTGTTAGATGCTGGTGAAAGCATCCTTCCTAATGCAAGGGATCTAATTGTTTCTTAGAGCTGAGAGATGACCTCAAGGAACAGATCACATACTCTGGGGTGAGAGTTTGGGGATGGGGAGAAGGCAGAGAAGGCTGCTCTTCTATCCTCTTGGATTTTTTTTTTTTTAACAATGTGTATGTATTACATGGAAAGAAACAGAAGACTTGTTTTAAAACAGTTATGATAAGAAGTGTTTCAAGATGTGAACAGTGGTTGCCTCTGGGTGCTTTGGGTACTTAGCAATTTTCTAAGATGTCCACAAATTATTTTTGCAATTAAAAAAATGCAAAGACCCAAGTTCTTAGGAGATAAAACATGAGAGAGGTAAGTTTTTTGGGGTTTTTTTGTTTTTTTATTAATAAATTTTTTTTTGGCTGCATTGGGTCTTCGTTGCTGCTCACGGGCTTTCTCTAGTTGCAGCGAGCGTGGGCTACTTTTTGTTGCAGTGGGCGGGCCTCTCGTTGCGGTGGCTTCTCTTGTTGCGGAGCACAGGCTCTAGGCGCGCGGGTTTCAGTAGTTGTGGTGCATGGGCTCAGTAGTTGCGGCTCAGGGGCTCCAGAGCACAGGCTCAGCAGCTGTGGCGCACGGGCCCAGCTGCTCCGCAGCATGTGGGGTCTTCCCGGACCAGGGCTCCATCCCACATCCCCTGCATTGGCAGGCGGGCTGTCAACCACTGCGCCACCAGGGAAGCCCGAGAGAGGTAAGTTTTGATATAGGAAAAGGAAGGGCCCAGAGTTTAGAAGAGACTGCCCAGGTGAAATCCTAGATAAAGACTTGGATTCAAAAGACTTGAGAGCTGCGAGATTGGGGGGAGGCGAGGGGAGCAGGCAGAGTAGGCGTGGATCTCATCTCTTACCTGGTCCCCATGAGGCCAGCAACCTCCATGGGATACACCAAGGACAGAAATGAGTCCAGCATGTGTGGGGCACACAGGTTTGGGGCCTGGATGCAACACGAGGGAGAGCAGTGACCTGTGTGTCATGCCGAGGAATTTGGGCTTTTATCCCAAGGGTAGTGAGGAACCAGTGAACGTGCTTAAGCAGAGAGACCAATGTGATCACGTTTTCATTTAGTCATGTTTCTTTGCCAGTGAAAAAAAACTCACACCAGCTCAGACAGAAACAGAACTTGATTGGCTTCTGTAGCCAAACCATAGGCAGGCTAGTTGGGCGTCCAGGTCCCCTGAAGCCAGAGACTTGACTGTCAGACCCTTCCTCTCCCATCTCCATGTCTCCATGTCTCGCCGCATGCCAGCCCCACCCTCCCAGAGCTGCCTCTCCACATGCTGGCATTCATGGCTACCGCTGTTTTCCATCCCTCAGGTTCGTGACCAAAATAGCCCGAGGTGAGAATGCAGGAATTTGGTTAAAAGGCAATCAGCGATGGCCAATAAGGTGGGTAGTGTAATAAGAAGGTGAACTTTGTTCAAAACGGGACAGCAAAATGATTTTCCAGGAGAGTTTGCATTGGTTTAGGTAAAGAAAACAATAAGTCCTGTCACCCCTCTGGCTGCCTGCAGAAAAGGGTTTGAAGGGGCCCCCCACAAGCCTGGAGGCAGGGAGAATATCTAAGAGGCCGCCACAGCTGTCCAGGTGAGAAGGGATGCAGTGCTGAGCTAAACAACGCGGCCGGTGGCGAGGAGGTGGATTGAAGAGACGATTAGAAGTAGAAATAGGAGCCCCGGGGCCAACCAAGCACGAGAGATGAGAGAAGATGGAAAGTTGAAGATGGCCCCAGTTTGCTGGCCCAGAAACAGCCCCAAACAGATACAACTGTATTGCCAAAATACAGTTTCTTTATTTCTCCGTGACTCAAGGTCACTCTTACCCCCGCTCCTTTTCTGTTCAGTAGCACAAACTTAGTCGGTTTGAGGTAAATGCAGTCACATCTGGACGTTCCCTGAGTCTCTCTTAAGTAGAGTCTTGGTCCACTTCCAGCTTCTCCACTTTCCACTGCTGCTTCCCTTCTCCTTGCGGGTGGTCCATGTTCTGGGCTCTCCTAATTTGCCCTGGCCCCAGGGTGTACATCTGATTCTGGATCCCAGGCTCTATCTACTGCCATCCACTGAACCAAGACGTCCCCACTGAACACTTGTCCTGACCACAAAGCATTTCCAAGTCCACCAGCTACACTCACGCTCTACCCTATACCCTCATCGTGATCACCTTGCTACAGGGACACAGAGGACTGTGGAGGACACCCCCAGGCCCATCTGTCAAACACCTGCTCCCATCAGGGCTGTCAGCCTCTCCAGCCCTTGCTAGGAGGTGTTGGTCTCCTGGCAAACACCATGAGGAACCAGGCAATATCCCCTTCTACTCTGGGATAGCCCCAAATTTCTTTTTGGAGATCTAGCATCTACTGTTAGTTCTATCTCCATGTGATTCCCCTCCTCCCTCTAGCTGGTCAAATTTTATCCCTTACAGGCAGAAAGACAGCTTCTGCATTCTTCCCTATTTACTGTTCATGGCATCAATTTCAAGTTCTGAGTCTCTTGGGTTCTTTTGTCTTTACAAAAAATCAGTGACCACAACCAAACACCGTGTCTCTGTTGTAGGTTTCAAGAGACTATTTGAAATCACTGACTGTCTTTCTCATTGCCTTCATGCTGTAACAACCCAAATCCTCCCCCAAAGCTCTGACTGAATGGGGAGAGAGTGACCATGGTAGCTAGTCTCCAAAGATGGCCACCATCAATTCCTGCCCTCCCTGTATGCACATACTACTCCTCACATCAAGAGGTAGAGTCTCTTATCCTTTCCCTCCCTGTGAATCTGGGCTGCCCTTAGTGTTTACTTGGCCAATAGAACATAGGGCCAATAACAGAAAAGATGTTCTGGGACTTGGGAAACTAGGTCATTGGGAGCCTTGTAGCTTCCGCACAGGCCTCTTGAAACACTTGGTCTTGGGACATTCCCTCTTGCAACCCAGCTGCCAGGTTGTGGGAAGTCCAACCCCTATGGTGAATCCACATGTGAGTGCTCCGATCAACAGCCCCGGCTGCCAGCTGTGTGAATGAGCCATCTTGCACAGTAAGCCCAGTTGAGCCTTCGATGACTCAAGCCCCAGCTGCCTTCTGACCGTAAGTCCATGAGTAACTTTAAGCAAGAACCACCCAGCTGAGCCCTGTCAACACCCAGAACCATGAGAAATAATAAATTGTGTTTTCAGGTCACTAAAGTTTGGACCTGTTTGTTACGCATTAAAACAGTGACAGGCAAGGAAGTGGGGGTGGTGATGGTGGGAAACACATGGAGAAACATACAGAATAGTGTCCTACTACACAGCCTGTAAGTGGACCATTATAATACAGTGTGGTAAGTGCGATCATGAAACATAGATATGTACAGAACTTTCCAGAGCAGGTGACCACTGGTCTGATTTCTTAAAGATGAGTAGGAATAAGCAAGGTAGAAGGCACTGGAAGGACATTCCAAGCAAAGGAAGCAGCACAAGCTAAGCCCCAGAAGTGAGGAGTAGCAAGAGTGAGCTTCAGGGCATTTGGGGTTCCTGGAAAACTAGAGAAGAAAGATGGAATGAGAAGAGTGGATTGCAGAACGGACAGAGGTCAGACCCTTCGGGGCCTTGCATGCCCTGGAGTTTGGACACCATCCTGCAGTCAGTGGGTGCTATTTTTACACGAGCGATGTGTTTGGATTTGTGGTGTGGGAAAATCACTGTGGGAGCCAGTTTGAAGGCTAGATTTGGCAAGTGACGGTCTCTGGGAAGGGAGATCAACTAAGAGACTCTGGTTATGGTCCAGGTAAGATAGGATGAGACCTGACCTGGAGCAACGGCAAGAGGGATGGACGGAACCCAAAAACCTTTAGAAAATAAGGTCAGAAATGCATGGTGGTTTTTGGCTGTTGGGATGAAAGAACCAACGGTGATTCCCATGTGTCTTGGGTGGGGCCCTCAGTGGATGGCGGGGAGGTGCTTGGGAGGGGAAGCACAGCATGAGGGGCAGTTTGAGGGGGGCAACAATGGGCTCAGTCTCAGGTAGAGCTGGGCTGGGGGCACAGCCAGGTGGGCCCCAGCAGGCAGCTGGATCCCAGTCCAGGAAGAGATTTGACTGGAGGGGCTGACCCAGGGACAGAGGATAACAGGAACTCTAGGAGTGAGTAATATCGTCATGGAGAGAATGAGAGAGGACCCAGGGCACAACTGTGAATTATGGTGACATTTGAGGGGCTGACTGAGGCGTGGGCGGTCGACAAAGGAGAGAGAGAAGGAAGGACCTGAGGGATGAGAGAAACAACTAGGAGAGGGGGTTGCCAAGGCAACCAAGGTAGTGAAGAGTTTCAAGGAGAAAGTAATCAACAGTCTGATATGGCCCAAATCTCAGAAAAATAAGAAGCAAAGCCCTTTGAATTTAGCAATCAGGGGGCTATTATGAACGTCAGCAAGTACCGTTTTGGGGGGTGAAGGGGTAAAAGCTAGTTTACAGGGGCAATGGAGTGAATGGGTGGAGGAGACGCAGACCTCTCCTGAGGCTGGATGACTAGGGGAGGAGTTGGGTGGGAGCAAGAAAAATGCGAGTGATCAATGGAGGAGTTTTGAAAATGAGAGACCCTGGAATTTTCTCTTCTTGAAAAAGGGCATCAGCAGAGAGGGAGAGGATGAAAAGAGGAATGATTTGTGAGCCAGGATCCATCTTCTGAACCCAGCTGAAAGGAAACAAGTGGGTATGATTGGAGATGCCTCAGGGAGGAGAGGAAGCCATGGAGAAGACTCCCTGTGATGCCCTTTCTGATCCTGAAAAACTTGATGGCAAGGTTGTCTACACTGTCAAATTCTGCAGGGTGGGTAAGACTGATAACAAAGGGAAAAGGTGCACTGAACTGAGTAGCTAGAGGGTCATTTGGTGACTGTTCTCGATACTCTACACTGACCCCTCCAGAGCCATTCTCTTTTTGCATCCTGTTCCGTGCCCTGGATGACCA